TTTAAACGGATGAGTTATTAAAAAAATTCACCCCCCTCACAGTTGTCATGAAGGGCAAAATTAGCTATATAGACCAAAATCTTTTTTTGAACCAGGCTGTAAACGTTTTTTTCTGCTGTAAAGTTAGGCATTTTAACATGGGGAGTCTATGGGATTGACTCCCTTTTGCAGCCAGCCTCTAGCGGCAAGTTGACGAATTACAGTTTAAGTCACTTCCGTGTTGGCTTCAGGAGAGAGAGGGGGAGGTTGCCGCTCGGTTCAAACCCACAACCTTTTAATTACCAGCCCAGATTTTTAGCCAGGCAAAACTAGACCAGCAGTTTAAAAATTTCTAAACTTTCTAAACAACAAATGCAGCAGCTTGAAGCACGTCACTGAGCCACAATGTGCATCTGGTAAACAGCATCATTAATTACTACTAATCGCTAATTAGTCATCTGGCTGACTCCTTTACCCAAAGCAACAGTTCACCAGAAACGGGTCAGTCCTCCAGGGGTAACCTGAGGTTAAGTGCCTCGATCAAAGCCGTAATGGTAATTAGAATCAATGGCTTAACCTCTCTAGGGTTTGAACCTACAGACTTTCAAGCAACCCTAATATTTAACCACTATTCCCAAACACATGCTGCGGAAAAAAACATGTTATTAGTTATAAACCTGTGGTCTAGTTTTACAAATAAAGTTTGAAAGGCGGAATTCAGGTAAATCGGGTCATCCTTATGTCAAAAAGTGGTTAAATATATCAAATTCACCTTATATACCTTGGTAATATACCATGGTTTTTACATGATACTCTATTTTACCTCCAACAAAACCATGGCATTACCATAGTACACGTCCAAAATATGGTATTATGGTAAAGTTATATTGTGTAACTGCCATCCTCTAATGGGCAGCTAACCTTGGACCATGGTACAATGTCTAAAAACCATAGTATTACCATAGTACTTTATTGTTAGTGTAGTTTTTAAGCAGTTTGGTGGTTATCCAGTGCCTCTGTTAGGCTTTAATATGGATTGATAGGAATCTTTCAGTAGGTTTGGAGAAATAATTTAAATATTATTTATTTATTATTTAAAGTATTTTACTTATTTATTTAAATAATTAATTAATTATATTATAGTATATCTCTAATATACACAATATACTACAGTTTATACATGATACTCCAATCCATTTACCTCCAACAATACCTTGGCATTACCATAGTACATGTCCAAAAAAACATGGTATTATATTTTGCTAACTGTCACCCCTTTTTTACCATGTTTAAAATCCATACTATATCATGGTTTTGTATTGTGGTAAGGTACTAACATTTTGCTAACTATCATCCCTTTTACCATGGTACAATATATATATATATACATATATATATATAAATTTTTTTAATATATATTTAATTAAACGTGCTATTATATTTTAGTCTGAAATAATACTAATTTAAATATTATATATTTATTATTTAAAGTATTTTAATTATTTATTTAAATAATTATTTCATTATATTATATTATATATATCTAATATACACAATATACTACGGTTTATAGCCTACATGATACTCCAATTCATTTACCTCAAACAATACCATGAATACATATATATATATAAATTTTTTAAATATATATTTAATTAAACGTGCTATTATATTTTAGTCTGAAATAATACTAATTTAAATATTATATATTTATTATTTAAAGTATTTTAATTATTTATTTAAATAATTATTTCATTATATTATATTATATATATATCTAATATACACAATATACTACGGTTTATAGCCTACATGATACTCCAATTCATTTACCTCAAACAATACCATGACATTACCATAGTACATGTCCAAAAAAACATGGTATTATATTTTGCTAACTGTCACCCCTTTTTTACCATGTTTAAAAACCATACTATATCATGGTACTTTATTGTTAGTGTAGTTTTGAAGCAGTTAGCTGGTCATTAGTTATTTGACAATGTAAGTTATCAGTCCAGTCGAGCGTAAGTAATTATTCGGTCATTTCGCAGATACATTAATATTAATATTACCTGTGTGAAGTCTTCATCACTCAGCAGGTGCGCGTCTCGAGCTTTGAAGCAGTTCTGGCATTTACTCTTGTTGAAAATATTGGCCTGGAATTTTCGGCAGGCGTTATCTTTTGCAGACATACTCTGTGCCATGAGAGTGTTCCCGTTTGACCGTTATTTTAAAAACTGCGCAATAATTCCACCGGAGGATCCTCCCCCGCGCGCTGCAGTCCGACCTCCGGTCCGCCTCATCACAAACTCACTACGATGATTTATTTACGCACAATAATCATCTGACAGGACCCACACAAAGGGGTACAAAGATAGTAATAATAATAATAAAAAAAAATTTTTTAGTTAAAAAGTTTTAATTCATCCGAGCTCTCTTAGGTTGATTTCTGCGGGGATTCAATCCGGGACCTTCCGCGCTCCGATGCGTTACAGTGCGAGCTCCAAAATAATGTGGCAAACTTGTAGAAGCACTCAGTGATGGAGAGGAGGTGTTTACTTTCCACTAGCTCACCGCTCCTGACGAACCTTTCAGCGATACGTGAAGACAACTATCCCGAAACTCCATTATGCGTCTCAGTGTGGATTCTCTAGAGAGATTCCGCTCCAAAAACGGATTTTCGCAGATCTGGGCGGCCGCAGTGGGTCGGTTTCCCACGGTCACAGCTGATCACACGGGTCCGGCTGCGCTCTCCACACACACTACGCTCTCCACACACACTACACACGCAGGAATGAAGAGGGCGGGGCACAACTTAACTGACAGACACCGTAAGCCAATCACGGGAAGGGACACGCCTACTTTTTATAGTCAAAAAACGTCAGTGTCCAATCAGATTGTTCAATCGCACTAATTTTATGGGGAATAACAAGAATCAAGGTAGGTGGACTGTGCACGGGGTAAACTGAAGTTATTTAAACTTACAGTCAGGATTTTATATGGATTTAAACTGTTTTTTTCGTCTGGTTATAAAATGAAAAAGAGCAACAATAAATAATTCATGCATTAAGATCTTTGATAACTACCCTTGTAACGCCCCCAGATAGTGACCAATCCTACCTGAGCGGCTCTCCAGTGCCCCCGTTTGGCTTTAATGCGTTATGAGAGCCTGAGTTTCTCTCTCTCTCTCTCTCTCTCTATATATATATATACACACTCACACATACATACATATAATTAAAAATCAGTATATATATATATTAATTACAATATTTTACATGCTATTTATGAATTAATACTTAAAAATATATTTCAATACTAACTTTTTAATATTATATATAATACAAATATAATTGTTTTAGATATTTAAGTATTTAATTATATTATTGTTTATCTTTATTTATATATTTTAAATGTAAATATCTTAAAATATATTTTAATAAAATATTTATTTACAATTTCATTACACTATATTTGCGTATGTGTATACAGTAAATGTACAATGAAATTACAAAAGGGAACAGTGTTCATAATCTCTCGGTGGCACAAAACTTTTTTTTATATTTAAAAAAAAGCTTAAAATTTGCAAAATGCATACTCAATCATTTTGTAAGCAGCTATTAATACAAGTTCAAAGGCAATATTAACATTTCATGATTCATAAATCTGTTTTTAAAACAACATAGTAAATTTAAAGACAAACACTCTGATTTCCTCAAATTAGCAAGTCAATAACATTGTTCATATGTGAAACAGTGTCTCGTTAAAAAAAACTATGTTTGTTTGATGTTATTAACAGATGAGTGTCAACATTTCCATCCCAGCTTCCACAATCCATAAAAAATGATTACTGATCTTTCACATTTTTGAAAGTATTACATTAAACTTGGTAGTCAAGAGGACTGGCCTGAGAAAATCTGGCAAGAGAAACTCTTTATGATAGCGTTAATACTGAATATAATACGACACGTTTCCCTTTAGTAACGTCCAACGACACGAGACAGAATGTGAGCGATTCCTCTATGTCCTGTTGATGGAGGGAGCGTCGTTTATCTCCTCGTTGTCCTCTTCATTCATCAGCGGTTCTCTGTGATCTCTTAGTCGTCTTATTCAGAATGCTTCCCTATAAACACACACATACATTGCATTTAAACAATATCTCAAGGTCATCATAAAACTATTCATAACATTCATTTTGCATAGGATATTCTACTTCATTTGATCTACTGATTAAGATAACAAACCTTTTTCCTGTGGTATCACATGCACTGATGAACTGTGCATGATAAGATCAGGAATAAATACAGTATTACAAAAGTAAACGGGGTTCATTTTCAGTTCATTTGCACTGCATTAGGCCATGAGCGATACTGTCACAGCAGAACAATCCAATCCACCTCTATTGAAATAGACTGATGTGTTTTCAAAGCCCAAAATAACCTCTGCTATTCCAAAGTACTCAAAACTCATGTGTCGCTCGAGTCATGCATACGTTCGAATCCACTGATAGCAGTTTCTCTATCACTCGAACTTACGATGTAGACAATAATAAGAGGCAAATCCAGCTTTTCTGGCTCTGAGAATAATTACACCGATCAAGGACATTCTCAAACACTGTAACAGTGTGAACTCGTTTGACTCCTCCTCGCTCAAACTCTTCACAGTTCTCCTTCATCACACTGTTGCTATGGTTACGTGAGGTTAGGGATTCTGAGAGATGTGGCGATAGTGGGTGGATGTGTGTGTGTGTGTGTTACCTGTCTGTAGTCAACGATGTTGAGTACGGTAGAGGCGATTATGCAGCTGATGGTATTGGCCAGCATGAAGATCATCATATATTGCCATGTCCACAGCGGGATCTTAACATCACTGCGCAACAGACATATAAAACTCACTAACTCATATACATGGTATTCCAAGATAATACGAAGAATATCATGATGCTTTCAAAAAAAGTTTTTGTGAGTATAATGCATGCACATGTATTAAATTTCAGTGTGCATTAAACATGAATGCTGGCCATTAATGTCACCTGGACTTGGTTCCCAGTATCTGTCCCACCACCAGGTTAGAGATGCCGATGCTGACCATCTGTACGGATTTGGCCAGCCCCATCGCTGTGCCCAGTGTGGCTTGAGGAACCACCAGCGGGACGGAGGGCCACATGCTCGCCTACAACACACAAAATAATAGAAAACCAATGAAAAACTCGTCAGCTCAACAGCAGGAATTAAATATGTACATTATCATGCAATGTTTAGCACAGGTCTGTTCTTTTACTTCGCTTTATTTGTAAACCTTTTGAATTCAGATTCAGAATATTGGCACAATACTTTCTAAGTAAAATGACAAGCAACACACAAACGGAATAGAAATACAAAAAATGTCGGTCTAACAGAAAGAATCACACACATGTGTTTAACTTTACTATTCAGTGTTTAGTATAGGTCTTGGTTATACATTTTGTTTCGATTTATTTGCAAAATAATGAATGTGGAATATTTGTGTTATTTTTTTATATAAATTTTTATTAAAATATATTACATATTATATAATAATAGAATATATATATATATATATATATATATAGTGAATAAATATTATATTATAGTATAGTATGTTTTAAGTAAGAGGAGAATGGGGTATATAATATGATAATATAATAATAATTTTTTAGGTTGTTCAATCCATTTAAGGATGTTTTTACAGTTATTTTAGTTCTTAGTTTTACTATCAAGGGTATAACATTTTTAAGTTTCAAAAAATGATACATGTTAAAAGAGCAAATCTAATAACACATATTGATATAATATTGCCATATTAAAATATTCCAAATACACACCTTTTCTGGGTTTATGGATATCATTATTAAAATGTGCATAATGTACAACACTTTAGAAGACTTCATTTGTTTTTAAACTCTACATTTTTAATATTCATATTTGTATTTAAAATGTGAATTTTTCATGCATCTTGAAATATAATTCGCTGTGTTTTTATTCTTTACTTAGCTAGAGGAAAACCTATGCAAAATATGGCCCTATTAATCTTATCCTGCAAACAAATCTCAAATTTCTCATGTTTTAAAATCAGTATCGTGTACAGTGACGAATGCTGAAAACTTCAACCAATCACACGCTCTCTCACAATGTTTGCAAACCACACAATTGTGCATGTACTTTACTTTACTTTAGTAACATCGTATATCTGGCGTCTGTAGTATCTGCTGTGTGTGTGTTCATGACTGATACTCACAGCAGCGAATGAGTAAGTGATGCCGAGCCAGATGGTTGATATGAGAGGAGGGACGAATGTGAAGGCCAGCAGGCCAAACACAGGCAGCGTCAATACAGCACAGAGCCCCGCAAACACACCGCGCAGCCCCACATAGTCCTGCAGCACAGACACAAACACAATTAACATTAAACTGACTCACCACAAAGTACTTTAGTGGCATCATATAGTGATGATACCATGCTATATATACATATATATATATATATAAATTTCATGATACATTACATTTTTTCTCCATACATGTTTGGTGTTGTGAGATTTTTTTACTGTTTTTGAAATAAGTCTCTTCTGCTCACCAAGGCTGCATTTATTTGAT